TGTTGTTAGTCCAGTTTTTTTATCTTGGACTTTAAAAAAAATTCTCATACATTTAACTTGCAAGTTGTTATATTAGAATCTTCTTCAGTTGCTAAAGAAGTTGAAGAACATTTGAGAAAATGTTATCATTTTCATTTAAAATTATATTGCTAGACATTATACAATACAAATAATAATGCAAAATGAAAATTATTTTAGTTAAATGATCAATGCGTCTTACAATTTATGCGATACAGCATTTATATAGATTAATCGTTCAAACTAGTCTAAATACTGATTTGACTCAGTTCAGTTTTAATTCAATTTGATCCTCAAATTGAACTGAAACCAGTTCTATAATCAAATCAGAATTAGACCAGTCTGATTACAGACCTTAACATCTCTACAAATATGCAAACATCATGCACTTGAATATTTCTTTTTTATTTAGATTCTCTTACTTTTCAATTAGTTTATCAAAGTTCAATTTTTTTTATATTTAAATCTTGTAAGCCATATGTTTTTTATTATACTACATTTATTAATCATATCTCAAACACTCCTCCAACTGTTTTAACTGAAATGGATATTGATAAATCTCAAAGCATTTCTACTATTTCTTCAACTATTGCCAAAAGTATTAGCACTAATATTTATGACAAGAGTTGTTCTTTAATTACTCCTATTATCAACAAGTCTGAAAAAATATATAACCCGCATCATAAGGTATTATTTAATGAGTATACAATTGAAGAATTTTTCTTAGACGAATTTAATGTAAGTTTACAATAAAGTGTGTATATATTTTTATTTAACGAAAAACTAAACCAACAAAAAATTTAGAGAAACAGAAATAATTAAAAACCTAAAGGATCCAAAGAAAATAAAAATTGAAAAATATCAAGATAAACTGAGTAAAAATATATCTGACGAAAAGGAATAATAATATTTAATTATTTTTCATGTATTGTATATACTATTTAAATAGTAATTTTTATACTTGTCATCATTTTTTGACAAATCTTTATTATATTTATTTTTTTTTTATCATGTATATTTTAAAAATAAATAAAATTATTAATGTTAAATTAAATGAGGCTTTGTCAATAGTAATGCATCTTACTTAATAATTTATTATGTATTAAAAAAAATTACAAAACAAAATTATCAGTTAAAGATACAACATATTAGATTTGAATAGAAATTATGTTTCTGCTACAACTCGGTGTAATCCTTTATAAAATAAAATAAGAATTAATAAAAAATAAGAAAATTAAATTATTAATATATATAGGTGTATAATAGTTCTTAAATTTGAAAAGTTTTAAAGAAACTGCTTGTTATATTTCTTTAACTTATAATTATTTCTAACCAGTAACTTGCAAGCATCATCTAACATAGCACAAGGAATATCTTTATGCTCAAATTCTTACCCAATTTCATTTTCATTTTCACTACTTCTATAACTTTTTCTTTTAATTAAAATGACATCAATGTATAGTATCTATTAAAACATCAAGCATCACCTTAAATAAAACTACTCACATATGATAATAGAAATAATCTTTAAGGCTGATGAGTAATTTTAAGCAAAATCATACTAAATTACCTTCATAATTTGCAAACATATTTATGAATATGAAATAGAAAAAAATTTTTATGAAAAAAATACTGAATGAATTTTTAGGATATAATATCAATACGTTATCTTAATATTTTTTTCAAAAAAAAGAATCTTATTCAGGAGATACTGTAGTAGATCAATAATAAATAAATCAGATTTCAATGTCAAAAAATCATAATTAAAAGAATGTTCAAAATAAGAAATTGTGCTTATTCTTATAATTTAAAAGTTAACTATTAAAGAATAACATATTCACATTGAACGTCTCTTCCAAATCCTATTAAAAATTCACAGATATGATAAAGTATGATAATGTTAATAAAATGATAATAGAAATATTATGTTTTTGTATAAATAAAATATCATACTAATATTTTAACATTTGCTTAAGAATTGTCGCTAATTATACAAATACATAATTTTTACATTAGTTTAATTAGTTCAATTAGTACTATAATTTTATTATATTATATAATTTTATAAATTTATGCATTTTTATTTAAGTTAATTTAGTTATTTATTAATTATACTTATATCTAATAATTTTAATATCAAAATATCATACAAAAAAATTAATTAATTATGTGACAACCAATGAAAACATTATTTTTACGAAAAAAATAATCTTTAATATTAGTAAATCAATAGTTAATATCATTTTATAGAAAAAAAAATCAAAACTGTTACCCAAATAGATTTTAGAAACATCTCGTCAGTATATCAATTTCACAATTTTGACAGATCAAGGTGAAGAAATAGACATATTACTATATGTTGATTATAATGGTGAGCTAGAAAGAAAATTATAAAAGACTATCTTTAAACTTGAGCAATTTGGTTCTTAAAATCACAAAAAATAAGGTATTAAATAATATTACACTAAAGATAGTAATTAGAAGTTTATATGAATAACTTATCTTAATATTATAAAATGCTTTTAACGTCAGAGTATTTATATCTGCAGTATAATCCATCATCGATTAAATGTTTTTTACTAAGGTTGCAGGACAAAACCTTAATTCCATTTTGGCAAAAATCAAAATCTACAGGTTTTTTCTGCAACCCTTTTATATTTCGCATTTTCTTTATTATTATACGTCTATTTTTTGATGAATTTTTACTATTTACCCTTCTAAAATATGAACATAATTTAATTATTTTGAATATCTACTAAAAAACTCTGATACAAAATCCTTACCAGATTAATTTTAATATTGAATTCTAAAATATCTCTTTAATAATATTATGTAGAATATCATTTACGAAGGTGTCTTCATTTTTAACATTCATTTCTTCTTTTGAGCTCAAATTTATGTTGTAAAAGGAAATTATTCAGTTCTATTTGTATTATATTAATTAATGATGACTATATAGCAGATATAAATACCTACAAAATTTCATAATATTAATTAATATTTTCCTCTTGATTGCTCAACTCAAAATTTCTGTAAAATTCGCATATAATATAGGAGGTTTGCTATTAAAATCGAGTTATGAACATAGTAAATCATATAATCTGTAATGTGATTTTAATAGTTTATCTTTTATATATCTTAAATATCTTCTAATAGCATAAAAATGTTTAATACTAGAATTGAGAAGAGATATGTTTAGTATAAATTTATTACATCTTAACTAATTTTGAGAATATAATATTAAATTTTACAGAAAAATATACATGAATAACATTATATACTACTAAAGATAAGTATTGATATAATTTTTTTTTAGCGAATTTGATTTTAAATTGTTTTAGTATAATGAACTTTGTTCGTTTAATTAATATTATATTTAAGAGGCATCTATTTTATCACAATAAAATAAATATAATAAATATAACAAATACATGAAAAATACATAAAATCAATACTTACAATATTTTATGATTCTCAGTTTTAAAGTACAAAATAGGTTGCTCTATTATCAATTGCTGAAAATTTTAGAACTCAATTGAGAGATTATGATTCTCAACTACTTAAAAAAAGTAATAATAATATGTAAATGTACTAATAAGTGTAATAAAAAGGTATTATTGTATATTCACATTATATTTAGATATACTTCTAAAATTGATTTAGTTAATAGTTTCTTCTCATAGTAACAGTTCTAAAATTTATCTAAATAAATTATGGATAATTATATAAGAGTATTTAAATTTGTTGACGTTATCTAAAAATGATAATACCTTAACTATTGAATTGCTAGCATTAAGATTATCTTTTTCTGCAATGTTTTTATTAAATATTATATAATAACTAATAATAAAATGAATTAGAAATAAGGGAAATTATTGAATAAAACTTATCAAAAAGGTTCAACTTTTACCTAGAATTTTTGCCTACAATCTTACTCCCCATTCTCTTTAAATTAGTTTAGCTATGAGTCATGTCTTTTTTCCATAAAAAGAAAATAAATGTCGTCGTAAAGTGAAGACGAATTCTGGTCATGAATTTAAATATATCAATTCAATTCTAGATTAGATTGTTCAGATCAGAAAAAAAGTAACATCACATTTAGTTACAATTTGTTCAGCTTGATCAAATCATGTTGTAAATAATAAATATAATTTGATTTCTGATATGCATCATGTTAGTTTAACATTTATTTTCATGAATTAGTTTGACTGATACTGTTCGATTTAATAACCAATCAATTAAAGGTATATTTTGCTTTTGTGTATCCAATCATAATGAGAAAATCATTTAAGTTTTGACATGCATGATAAAATTTGCAGTCATATGCATTTCTTCTAGCTGACTCATATCTTAATGCTAGCTGATCTAAGTTGCAATATTGATATGACAATAATTTTAACCAAAAATAATCAAAATGGTTGACAATTTACCCAGTTACTACAAACCATCATGATAAAGTCAATAAATCTGCAATAACAATTGGTTAATTATTACGTATTAGAATAAAATTAATTATTAATTCTGGGTCTCTGAAATGAATTTATCCCAGTATTACTGACATTATAGTATTAAGAATCATGTGACAAATATTATTATAATTACAAAAGCATACCAAACATTTGCATGATTGGCTGTTATACAGAATTATGTAACTTAGCTTTTTATATTATTTAAAATAGGTAAATATTTCATTATCTTGCCTTTTTTTTATGTAACATCAAAAAAAAATTTTTGATTACATTTCTAGAAGTCTATTATAGCACTTTTTCAAAACTAATTCTATTAATCACATAGTTTTCAACAGGTCATTTAGCAATTCTAAAGATTATAATAGAAAATTTAAACTGAAAGAAACTTTCTAAACTATGTGTTATTTATGAACTTCAGATCCTACCTAATAATTAGGCAGTACTTAATTTTGTCATAATCCTTATATGAGCTGTATTATAAATAGAACATATTCTAAGAATTTTAAGGTACTGTTACCTTAAAACGATGCTGAGAATCTGATCAGATACAAGATAAACTGATAATAAAAAAAATTGATTCTAATAATAGTAAATTCAGGTTAATAATAGAAGGAATTGAACCTAATAATTCAAAAATAGATCTTGATAGATTTGAAAATAAATTAACATCAGAAGTAAGTGGAATTTGTGAGATTAATTTTATTAAAAGTGTTAGATCAATAGCACAGATTTTATATACAAGAGAAAAAAAAAATATATTATCAATTTATGATTGAAAATCATTCAGAAAGGATATAAAATCAAAAGATACTAACCTTACACTATTTTTTAATATGTTTGAGAAATTAATTAATCTAAGTAGTAGGGGTCTTTTGAATTATACTATCTCACAAAGGCAGAAAGAGCTTTTTTTTTTATATTATTTCCTTACTAGAATTAAGAATAAGCATATTAGTATACTAAAAAAAGATACTATAATATTTTTGGATCTTTCAGATACATCTAATTGAGCTATTTATACTTTATTTAATATGCAATTAAGTTTTACATCAAGAGAAAATTAGCATAAGAAGAATGTTATATCCTTAATTTATAAAGATAATATTACAAAAGAACTCTTAAAATATCAGACAAATGCAAT